CTTTTGAGTCGGCCCTGCGGGGGGGCTGGGTCCAGAAGGGGGGGGGGGGGCTTTGGACCGACTTCCGATCGGTGGGTGCTGGACTGTCTGCGTCGTCCTCCTGGTGTGTAGGGCTGTCCTGCGACTCGGAGTCGGAAGTGTCTGGCGGGCTGCCGTGTGCCTGGAAGTCCGGCTCGGATTTCTCGTTGGCGTCGCCATCCCAGTCGATCCCTTCCACGTCGCCGTCGCCATTCCAGTGTTCTGATGAGGGCGGCGCCTCTTCTGGGGCCCCATCGGGCTGGCCTGGCGCTCAGGGTTGTTGGGGCGAGACATTTGCGCGGGTCAGGGGGGGGGGGGGGGGGGCGACGTGATCCCCAGCGTGTTGGTCGATCGGGGGCGGTTCTTTGCCCTGGGGCCTGTTGAGCCAGCTGGCAGCGGGAGACCCTTCTTCTGCCGTGCCTCTGGTCGTCGCGCCCTGGGGCTGGGCGGCGAGGAGTTCCATCGCCCCTCTGGTTAGGTACTTCTCCAGCCCTGCGAGGAACAGCGTGAGGACATGCAGCGGCTGTCGGTAGGGGGACTGCTCTTTCTGATTGTCGCGGTTGCTTGCGTCGCGCCCCCATTCCTCCTGGCACTTTGGGTTGCTCTCCACCAGGTGTGAGACTACCCTGGCGGCTGCAGCCCTCTGTCCGCCCCGTGGGATGTGTGGGGATGGCCGTTGCTAGGGATCTCCCTCCGTAGATAGAGTCCAGGAAGGGCAGCAGTTGCTCGAAGGGCCATCCCGTTTCGTCGGTTACATCGCCCACAATGTCCATTTCCAGTCGCTGCGCGTAGGCTGCCCAGAGGGTGTAGGCCGCGTGGCTCCACTCAATCAGGTACTTCACCAGGGCGCGAACAGGGGCTCTCGACTCTCCCCCTGCCAGACGGCGGGTGGAGTACGCGGGCAGCAGGGGCGCTGTGGGCGGCAGCAGGTCGGGAAAAGAGTAGTGGATGGAGGCTCCATCGGTCGAGCCCCTTTGTTCGTGCACAGTGGGGGGCTGTGCCGACCGGTCATCGCGCGGTGGGATCGGCGCGTCCGTGTCCGCGACTGGGGCCCGGCTGGCTGGGGAGAGGTGCGTAGACATGTCGCAGTTGCACCAGTCCTCGGGAATGTCGGTTGTGGCCTGCCGCATGGTAGGGGTGGCCGGGTAGACCTCGTTGGAGTAGGGGCGAGGATTCGGTCGAGGACGCCCGGGGCGATGTTCCAGATGTGAACAAAGCACCTCCTGCAGGACCATTCTGCGTTCCACTTCCGTGTGACCCATAGGAGGAGCATTGCGCCCCGCGGCGGGAGACCTGTCTGCTCGTTGCAATTGGCGTCTGCCTCTGGGCGCCACATGAAGCATCCGAGGGCTGGGTGGCCCAGCATCCATTCTAGTAGGGGGGAACCGGGGGGGCAGGTGTCGCACGTGGCCGAGTACATTTGGGTATGGTGCGTTTCTGCACCAAACCTGCCGTCGGCAAGCCTGTGGGGTGGGGGGGCGGTGCCGGCGCTGGCTGGCTGGAAGGGGCGCGGCGCACGCATGACGAGGTCCTTCAGGGAGGAAGGGGTCGAGGCCTCGTTAGGCCGACCGAACCCCGGCGGGGGGCTGGGCAGCGAGGGGGGGGTCCGAGCTTTCTTGCGCGCTCGGTCTTCACCCATTCTGCGCTTGTACTCCTGTAGACGCTGCTGCATGACTTTCTTGGCACCGCCTTCAGCCTGGTTGGGGTCAGGAATGAATTCCCTTACTTCCCAGGGACCTGACCCAACACAGCTCGCAGAGCCATCTGCAGTTCTTGCCCTTCATGTATGCCTGCGCGCGGCTCTGGGCTAGCAGCTCACGGGTGTCGTCATCCTCCCAGGTGCCAGCTGCTCCCTGTAGTTTAGTCCCGTGCTGGTGCAGCCGTCGCAGTTGTAGCTGGCGCCCTTCTGCAGCCTGCAGAACCGCTCGTCCCGCACTATCGGGGGGGAAAGTGCTGTACCTGGAGCTGGTGAGGCCGGGAAGTCTTCGTCGAGGCGGCGGTTGGACATCGCGACCCCGCCTCCTATATACTGCAGGTCCGACATGGTGCGCGGACTGCCAAGCTCCCCCTCTGATCCCGTCAGCGCCTTGTGCAGCTGGCAGATGGGAGCAGTCTCCACTGCTTAGCTGGTTGACATTCGCGGGCTGGACTATAGCTTCCAGTACGCGCATGGGGGCCTCCAGGGTGAAGTCATGTTCCTGCATTCCTGCCCATGTCCGGGGGCATTCGTGCGTCTCCGCACTCTGATGGTGATGAGCGAAGGTGACCAGCGTACTAATGTGGCGAATGACGTGCGCCATCTTGGCGTGGAGGGAGGCAAAGTCGGCAAGCTTGAACCCCCACGTGGCCGCAAACTGGCTGCGAAACTCCATGTGGGCCTCCTGCCACGGGAGGCAGAGACCCATCGCCGCCTCTACGATGTCTCCTGTGGCCTCTGGGTGTGGGAATGGCCAGAGTGTAGCGCGCGGCTCCCGCAGTTGCA